TGCTGGAGTCCTATTCAGGAAGTCTGTGCCTGTGCCTATGGCTTGAAGTGTTTCCCCTATGTTTCCATTTTGCAGTCTCAAGGGTTCAAGCCTTGTATACCTAGGTTTCTGATCCATTTCAAATTCATTTTTTGTACAGGATGAGAGATAAAGATCTCATTTCAATCTTCTACATATGGAAGTTTCCCAGCATCATTTGTTAAAGAAGCTGTCTTTTCTGCAGCATACGTTTTTGGCTTCTTTGCCAATAATCACATGGTTATAGTTGCACTGGTTTGTCTACGTGTCTTCTATTGCGTTGGTCTGTGTATCTATTTTTGTGCCAGTAGTAGAATTTAAAATCAGGTATTGTGATGCCACCACCCTTGCTCTTTTTGCTTGGGACTGCTTTGGCTCTTCTAGGTCCTTTGGGTTTCCATCTTAGTTTTAGGATTGTTTTCTCTAGTTCTGTGAAGAATGTCATTAAAATTGTGATGAGGATTGCATTGAATCTGTAGACCACTTTTGTTGATATGGTCAGTTTCACAGTATTGATTCTGCCAGTCCATGAACATGGGAGTCTTTCCATCTTCTACTGCCTTCTCCAATTTATTTCTTCAGTGTTCTGTAATTTTCATTGTAGATATCTTTCACCTTCTAGGTTAGATTGATTCCTAGGTTGTTTTTAAAGCCACTGTAAATGGAATTGTTTTCCTGACTTCTTTCTCAAGGATAGTTCACTATTAGTGTATTTTAAAAGGTACATTATTGGGGCCAAGGATTTAGCTCAGTGGTTCCACCACCTGCCTCACAAACGCAAAGTCCTGAGTTCAATCACCAGTACCAAAAAAAAAAAGGTATATTATTGATTTTTCACATTGAGTTTTGTATTCTGCCTGTATTGAGTTTTATTAAATGCTTTTCCCATGGTTATTGATATTATTGTGTGACTTTTGTCCTTCATTCTAACAATACGGTATATTGAAATAATTTATTTTTGTATGTTGATTACTAATTCCATGTCTCTACTTCTTATAGTTGTATTCAGATTTTCTTTTTTCCCCTTGAGTCTACTTCAATTTGTGTAGTTCTGGAAAATAATCTATGCACAAGGGCCTAAGTTCAATCCTTACTGGGACATACACACACACACACACACACACACACACACACACAACAATGAGGAGGCCAATGTGGGACAATGATCAGAAAAATAAGAGGGACAAGACAGGGGGAGGGAAGAATATGCAGGGCTCTGTGAGGAACTGAGCCTTACTCTGAATAACTGGAGAAGTCATTGGAGAGTTTAAAGCATAGGAGTTCCTGGTCTAACTCATTTTTTAACAGGCTTATTCTGACTGCTGTGCAGAGACATGCCCAGGGAGAACAAAGACAACAGCAAAGAAACACATTTGTAAACATAAGAGATGAATCTGGATATATTTTCAAGATAAAGCCAATAGAATTTAAGCTATATTGGGTATGGAATAGGAGAAAAAGAGAGGAAATATCAATGTCTCAAAGATTTGGGTCCTAAACAGCTAAAAGAATAGAATTGCCAAACCCAATTCTGACAAGAGGAAGAAGGTTGAGAGGGGAAGATCTGGTCAGTTGTGGACATGTTGTCAGACATCTGCAGTAGAAATCCGGAATTCTAAGGAACAATGGTCTGATCTAGATATATAAATTTGGGAGTCATCATGAAAAGATGGTCTTCTACATTGGTATTTAAATCAGGCAGGAAGTCATGAGACAAAATGAAGTCACCTAGGGACAGATAAAAGAAAAGACCCAGGAATTGAATAATGGACACCCCAGTGTAAACCGGGGAGATGAGAGGTAACCAGCAGGGCAGCAGAGAGGCCTGAGAGAACAGAAGGATTCTGAGTCCCCGGAATATGTTCATAAATAGTGTACAACTAAATTCTATTCAGAAATACTTCACTGGGGCTTATTTATATATCTACAAAGGGCTGTTGTCTTCCTTGCGCTTGGTCACCTTTATAGTTTATATCGAGGACTCTCAAAGCCTCGTGCTCTCAGAGGCGGGGCTTGTGGGAGGAGACTGGATTATGGAGCCTACAGCTGAGTTGTGCTGGGAATCGGGATCCGGCCGGAAGAGGGCCACATCCGGCCACTGCGAGGGGCACATCATCTTCCTTCCCAGCCTCTCCCTTTGCTCAGCAGACTGTCAACTGAAAGTGTGAGCCAAAATAAACCTCTCCTCCTTTAATTTGCTGGTGGCAGCTATTGAGCCCCAGAGATGAGAAAGTGACTGAGACAGTCACATTATCTGGGGGACTCTGTCCCTGGCATGCTGTCGGTCACTGTGATGATGGTGGTACCGTCCTCAACAGCATCAGCCACCAGGAAGTTCTCAGGAAGAGAAGCGCGCTCCTAGGGAATCAGCACTGTCCTGGCCTGCAAGGTCCTAGAGGCCAGGGAGCGTGTGTGGGACCTAGGAGTAGCTGACAGTCTGAGTGGTGCACACGGTCTTGCGTTAGGCAGGATAAGGCAGCAAGGCAGCTGGATACCTCCCGGACAGTCAGTAAACTCAGTTTCTGCTCTACCACACTCCTGGTCCCCTTCAGCTAACCACTTCTCTGTCTGCATTGTCATTTCCTCTCCCTTGACCTCCAGCCTAGTGCCTCAGAGCATCCCTTTCCAAAATGGCGTGGACAGCAACATGGCAGCAGTGGTGAGTTCAGTCCTTTCCACCCGGGTCTTCTCTGTGACGCTGGATTGCCTGCAACTGCTACAACAGGAAACTATGTTGAATGAACGAGGCTTCACCAAACAATGGAATTGTGGGCAGCCATTAAGGATGATGTTGGTGGGCTGGAGATGCAGCTCAGTTACAGTGTGCGTGTTTAGCCTGTGTCCGGCCCTGGGTTCAATAGCCACTACCAAAAAAAAAGGTCAGACACACACAAATTTAGGAACGGCCTATGAAGTGACAATTTGTATTCTTTTTTTTTTTTTTTTTTGGTACCAAGGTGATTTTGGGGATGGATGGACTTCACAGAACAG